TTATTTTTTTATTTAAGTTTTAAAATAAAAATATTAACTTTCAATTTTTTTTGTTTAAAAATGTTAACTTCAATTTTTTTTTATTTAAGAATATTAACTTCAATTTTTTTATTTAAAAATATTAACTTCAACTTTTTTTATTTAAGAATTTATTTGCCACATTAGTATAAATTTCTAATGAATCCTTAAAGAAAAAAAATTTGAAAGTTAACATTCTTATTTAAAAACTAATAAAATTAACATTTTTAAATAAAAGAGTACAAAGTTAGTTACATTATTTGTACCTTTTCTCATGTTTTATTCATTGGTCGGCAGATATGGCATACCATGAAGCTTAGTCAATTTTCTTTTTCTTTTTTTTCTTTAATGCCCTAGAATATACTTCGACTCTTAATAATTTAAATAATTCAATAATAATCTATTTTTTTGTAAAAGTAAAAGATTTTATATTTGATTTATATAATATAACGGGATGAATTAAAAAATAAAAAAAATTACCTTTCATCATATAATTCAAGATTAAAAACAACACACACACTTGGACTCATTTTCTGTTATAAAAGAATTTTATACCTTGTTCCTTTTAAAAAATAAAAATAATAAAAATAAAAAATCTTCTTTTTCAATGCCTCTCCCTCTCTAATCGTCTAATCCTCCTTTTGGGAGTCCCGTTTCTTGGTCCATGTTGTGTGCGGGAAGAGGCCCATACCCTCGTTTCCTCCCACTTGAATTTCAAGGTCCAGCCTCTATTCTAAAATCCAATGGGCTTACAACTTAACAATTCTGTTGAATATGGGCCTAGAATTGATGCGGCAAGCGGGTGCCAGACTGCAAGACCTTGGGTCTCTTTCTTCCCTTCCTATTTTTTTTTGGAGTTTTGGCTCGTGGCAAATTTAAACCCACCATGTCTAGTTATCAACTAATTGTGCAAAGTCCCCTTAAATTTTTTTTTTTTGAACTGTTGTCAATGACCTAATAATCAAGTGATAATCACCATTTGTTATTCATAGGACAAGAGTTGCTGTTTGTATTTGCCTTAGAGAAAATGACCACTCGTTTTGTAAAGCACAAATGAAATATAGTTAGTTGGAAATTTTAAGTTTAAATTTTAAAATGAACGAAGGAGAATAATTGAGAAATATCTTTTTTTTCTTTTTTATAAATCGATGTAACATCCAAGTGTATAGTCCAAGAAAGGTGAAAGACAAAGTGATTGATGTCTAAAGAAGAACATGATAAACTGACTGAACCACGTTGATGTCCATTTGTTTGTTAGTTGTTTGATTGTTTCTATCCTCAGAAGTCAAATTAAGGATCCGTCCAGAATGTCCATCATAAACATAGAGCTCAAAAGCATCCATGCTGCATGTTCTTTCACATTTTGTCACCATGCATGATCAATAGAT